CATCCCTCTCCCTTTGGGCCCCAAATACTCTTGGGGAAAGATAAACCCCTCTGACCTTCATCGGTTTGGGGACATGCATCAAATACTTGGACGGCTTTCCCTAGGGCTGAAGCTGAGAGCAGTGGCCCAAGGTGGACTGCAAGGCTTTCCCCAGGAATCTGAAGTAGGAAGTGGACACCATTGGGTTCGGTGCATTTGAAGAGAGGGCAGAACTTAGGCTAGAAGAGGCTGGGATACCGGGCATCCTTGGACCCAGCAGGGAGAGAAGGCACTACAAGGTGGGAGAAGCAAGGAGATGGGAGGTGGGAGGGAGATAGACACATCCCCCCTTTTCCATGGAAGCGAGACCCCAGGGACAGTGAACACTCTAGGTTTACTATGAGTGACTTTGGGAGAGACCAGAACACATGGGCTTTGTTTGTCATGGTGGGGACCAGGCAGGAACTTTAAAGCTCTCTTAGGAATTACCAGCTTACACCCAGCTAGAAATCTAGCCTATCATGTCCCAGCCAGCAGAGCCCATCAAAGATGCCACTTCTCATATCTGATCCTTTGAATGCACTTAAGGTAGCAAACCCAAGAATTTGGGGATGAAAAGTAGGCTCCCAATTTATTGTCACCTTTTATTCGACAGTAAAACTAGAGGAAAGTAGGTTGTGGAACATATAGCTATTAAAATGACACAACCAACAGTTAGAAATTAAACTAGGAAATTAAAGTGATAGCCTGAAACATACTAACTAAATATCCTAAATACACCACAATGGATCCATATGTTAGAAGCGATTTCTACTTCCAGTTTTATTTCCTCCTGGCATAATTAAAAATTCACTATTTTACTACTCTTTGTATGAAGGTGCACTGCTTTGAAATTTCCCAAAATTCACCTCTTTTTAAGAGGAAAGGCCTCCCATTCTCAAACTCCATGACAAAAGGGTGAAACTTTCACCATCCATGTTTCCCACCCAGATACTTGAGATTCTGAATGCAGAGCTGTTTTCCTGCTGAGGAAGGTGTTTTAAGGACCACAAATCCTACAGTCACGCTGATGTTTCCCTGACAGAGCTGATGTTTGGGTCATTGAAGTCAGATTCTCCCTCAGTGACCCCGAGATGCAAGAGGAGGATAGGGAGGGCCCTTTATTCTGCACCAAGACTTGCATTGAATCTCAGCCCCACATGTCTATCTTTGCGAACCATAAGCTCTTCTCTCTCCCAATTCTATGGTCATTAGATACTAAGTTCCCAGGTTTCTAGAAAATGTGTCCCAGTGAGAATTCTCCTTCCTTTGCTATTCCTCAGCAACTCAGGGCATTTGTAAACCATAGCACATCCATCTGGAAACAGCTGCTTAGCCGAAGAGGAGCCTAGCTCTTGTCACTTGGCTGTGTCTGGTGACAAGAAATGCTGTCACAGCACTGTCATGGAGGCAAATCGAAACTGCGCGACTTGAACTTGAAAAGGCCTTTGGGAATGTCTTCTTAGAAGGTCATTTTCCAACTGAAACCGACTGCTTCCACTTCACAGAAACGTAACCATCTGCGTGTTACAAGCTGCTCCTGTATCTCGGTAAATGCCTAGTTCCTTGCTGTTTCTCTTTGGTACTCCTCCTGGCAAAGCGCAACAGGAAACGCCGATCTGTTTATTATGGTGCAGTCACATGCAGAGTCACAGAGAGAAGGATTTTAGGAGAAAAACCCGGAGAGGTGAGTGGAAGAGTTACCATCAAGCTTCACTAGAACCTGGTTCGTAGACATGGTTCAGACACACACTACCTGCGGCGGGTTTACTTCTTCCACCAGGAGCCTCAGCACCACTGGCCGTGGGGTGGGTGACTCTGTGAGGGGGACTCGCCTCTGCATGGTGAGATGTTTAACAGCATCCCTGGCACTCACCCACCAGAAGCACCTACATGCCACCGCCTTCGGGACAACCCAAATATCTCCTCCAGACATGGCCTTGGGATGCAAAAGCAGCCTTTGTTGAGAATCACTGTCTTAAGGATTTGTTTCCTCAATGGTAAAGTGGAGCCCATGAGAGTGGAGAGCTGCTGGGGGCTGACGGTGAAATGCTGCACTCGAGAGGTTGGTCTGCTACATGACTGTAAGGTAGTATTACTTACAGACATATTTGTTCACACGTGGAATTTAGGTACTTTCATGGGTAACGGATTTGGCAGGTCTCAGCTGACAGAGCAGGAGCAATGTGCAGAGAGGGAATGTATCCTCTTAACAACTGCAAATCCAAGAGCTAAGAATTTACAGACACATCAATGTTCTCATGCCCAGTTCAAGAACGAGTGCAAATGCCAAATGGGGATGTGATCCAAATGACCCTGAGGTTTAGTCTAACTTTAAGGATTTGTGGAAAAGGGGAAATTAGAGAGGGATTAATACTCCTAGAGTACTTAACATCCATTCTCTAGAAGCTCATTAATCCCAGGCTATTAGAATAAAAGTAATTTCCCTTAATAGTTTCTAAGTTATTGGGAGAATTTACACACAGTAGATGTCACCTCATAAGGAAACTACAGAGAAAGAAGCTGTGGACTCTGATTGTTCTGGAGACAATTCTTCACCTTTAGGAAGAGTTAAGGCGGTCAGCAGGCAAGGCTGTGGAACAGACAGCCAGGTGGGAGCAGCAAAATCTACTATTGGACGTGGCTAAATGGAAAGAGACATCTGAACCCAAGTCCACGTGCAACAAGTGTAAGTGCCACAGAGAAGCAGATACGGAAAAGTCCTTTTCTGGAGGAAACAGAGTACTCTGATTCGAGATCTTTACACATTGTTTTTCTGGAATCTGTAACTTCTAACACCATCAGAAATCTTAGAAGTCAGGTTTTCCTAGAGTGCTGTGTAGTCATTCATTTAAAAAAAGTAATATGAACAAAAAAATCTACATGCAAGAAGAGATCATTTGCACTCAGTTCTGTTTTTATTATTATTGTTTCTTAACACAAAAAAAGATGAAGATTGCTGAATACAATTGTTTCCTTGTGCAAGCTACTTTTGCATTATGTCAAACAAATGTTTATAAAAGGGTCAGAAGCACAAACAAAACGAGTTAAGAAAAACAGATAAAGAGTTCGAAATGAGTATCTTGTTGCTGGTAGTGGCAATTCTAGTGGAACAAAGACAGGCTGTGTCACTGGAAAGCTGAGGGCATGGAGGGGAAGGAGATCACCTGGAAAAAGGGGCCTGGATTTGGGGTTTACGGAACTCCTAAAGGTGGGAATAAATAGAGCCAAAGACTTGGAGCAATCATCAACTATCTAGAAACCTAAATGATTTCCCCCCTCCTTTTAATCCTGTGTTAGGCTTCTCAAGAAATACTTCCTTCCTGATGCAACCTCTGCGGTAAATGGGAAATTGTACTGCATATTCAAAACAACTTCAGTTTCTTTTGATTGACAACACCGGAGAAGAAAGAGAATGCACTTTTAGAATACTAGAGTGTTTGGTCCTTTAAATTCGGGCAGATACAGGAAAGTTCCATGAGATAGGAAACGTTTTCCTCTTAGGTTTAAACCTATAATAAAATGTCTCCAACAGGCTAATTATACATGTTTTATATATTTTGTGCATATGTGCTCCTCTCTAAACCAATTTAATTCCCATTAATGCTAATCTTGTTATTGCCCACTCGGAGAGGAAAGGAATCCTTTTAATAAACAATTGATTTATTTGAGATATTTCAATGGGGGATGGGCAGAAACTGATGGGAGAGGAGGAAAAAACCACCATTTTTATCCACCTGCAATTCTGAGACTATTTTCCAAATATTGATGAGTATTAGGTTAGACTAGGTATGAATAGGAAGTGGGGAAAAATAAAGTGTCAGAGTTGACAGTCCTCCACCCATGAAAAATAAGGGCATGGTAACAGAGGTTTATTGATACATCTTCTGTGCTAGCTCCAAGGTTAGAAATGAGATATCACAAACAGAAGCAGATTTTCTCCGTTAAGAAAAGGGATAAATAAAAAGGAGATTCATACTTGTAAGCTCTTACAGAAATGGCTTTTTCTTAATTAAAAAAAATAGGACGGACAGGTCAAAAGAACAAATAGGTAAGTTGTGCTCCTACCACACCTTGTCTTGTTGCCAGCATGACTGTCCCCCTTGTTCTTGATACAAGAATCCGGTAATTTCTCTCAGCTTCATTCAACCGAGATTGGCTCTTAACAGAATGTGTGCCCAGGTCTGACGTTCTCCTGGAGTGTACTGTGGTGTGACCGAGGGCCGAGGGCTGGCCTGGCGTTGAGAAAGCCAGAGGAAACCCTCTCCGTCCCATCGAGCCCGTGTCCAACCTGGCTAACCGATTTTAAAGGTACAGATGTTTATTTCCAATTCTCCTGGGAAAAGTGGCATGTAATAAAGAACAAGTGAAAGAAGGGTTGTCCAGGAGTCACCATCTGGCCCTAAGATAAGTTATTTAACCTCCCTGAGACTCAAGTTTCCTTATCTGTAAAATGGGGATAATGATCTCGAGGTACCATGTTTTGTACCGCACAGTAGTATAAGGATCAAAAAATGTTTTATTTTTAAAAACACTGTGATAACTGAAGTGGTGTAAAACCAAAAAGTATTATCAGTTGGGAAATAGTTTTAGAAAAAGTGGCACAGAAGAAAAAAAACTTAAAGGGAGAAATACACAAGGCTAGGGATCAATTTTGCCTGGGCCTTGTAAGCCAGAGAGAGAGAGACTGATTTCCCCTCAGAGTTCTCTTAAAAGTTCTCATGGCAACTGATGCTCTTACTTTATAATTATGCATATAAAACATAAAATAAAAATTAAAGATGGAAAGTATTTAGATGAGTAAAGTTTTCCATTTTTCGTTTATCCAAAGGTTTGGTGTAAGTTAAACACATGAAGATGGGGTCAGAGGTGAGCACAATCTCTTAACATTCATTGAAAAAACTACTGCAAGAAATATTTTCAGCACAAATATTAAACTGCCTTTTCTCTACCGATTGGTAAAAAAATATATTATATTTGATTTTTCTTTTCTTTTTAAATTACATTGTTATCCATCCCAGCCAAAGTCGTGCCCGGTCATCTGGTAGAACTTGCGGTTGAAGGGCCGGTAGAACTCCCGCAGCCTCCGCACCACCTCGGGGTCGATGTCGGGGTGGGTCCGGCCCTTGGTCTTGCCCAGGCAGTGGGGCTTGCTGCTGCCCTCGGCCTTCTTCAGGCAGGGGAAGCCCTTGGTCTTGTTGAAGTAGAAGTGCTTGTCGGTGATGATCCTCTTGAGGCCCAGGAAGTCCTGCACGCGGCCCAGCTCGCCGGCCGGGTCACTGATGAGCCGCTCGCCGCTCACGAAGAGCATCTGGCCGAGCGGGAAGTGGCGCAGCCAGTGCTCCAGGTGCTTGGCGTAGATGCCGATCTGGATGGCGCTCCACGACGTGTCGATGAGGCCCGTGCTCCTGTTTTTGAACGTCAAGCTCTCGAAGGTGGGGATGTCCGGCCGCTTGGAGAGCGTCTGCGTGTAGTCCGAGATGGCCCTGGTCACCGGGTCTCGCACCACCACGATGAGCTTGGTGTCCTTGGACATGGCCGAGATGCGCGCGGGGGCCTCCCGGGTGACGAAGTAGCTGGGCGTCTTCTCCATGGTGATCTGCCCGTCCAGGGTTCTGGGCATCAGGTCCCTGAGGAAAGAAAAAGGCACGTGAGCCTGAAACAAAGCGACTGGCCCTGGTTTACACAGAGAGCTCATTCCAAGGGAGGGGGTGAGTATATACTCAGAGCCGGACTGCGACCCGATCCCAGCTCGCCCACCTGCTAGATGTATGACTGCATATTTAATGGAAAATAATAATAACAATACTCAGGTGCCTGTGTATTTAATGGAAAATAATAATAATAATAAATAACAATAATCTCAGATGATTATTGTGATGATTAAATGAGTTAATGTATCTCAATAGCTTAGAAAAATGCCTGACAGAATAAATGCTATCTAATTTTTATTTTTTATTACTACCAACCCACAATGCTGTAGAAAATAAGCTTGATCAAATTCTTTATGTGAGTTAGAATATTGTAATAAGCACAATCACACTGCTATGAGATGGTAATAAAATACCCTAAATACTTTCTGTAATTTTCTTAAAAACAAAGCAATTATCCTATATAACAAAAGGCTAATATGCAAATAGACCTAATGGTGGAAAAACTGGAACTGGTCGCTATGACGTGCGCTGGCCACCGGGGGCACGAGCAGAACATGGAGGGTGTCAGCCACGGTGGGACAGTGGAGCAGGTGAGCAGGGGCGCCAGACCAAGGTGGGTGCCAGTCGCTGTCATCAGGGCGAACCTCTGGTGGTTACTGAAAATTCTTTACTCCCGTGCACTGCGGTCCTGCTCAGTGCTTGCACCTGCTGCCAGCGCAGGAGCCACCACTCGCACCTGCTGCTGGTGCTGGCCCCAATTGCTTCACGCCGTCAGCGGGTACAAGTGAGGCTGGCACTGTCAGCACCTGGGAGCGGCAGCGGTGGGAGCGAAGCTGCTGGCAGACAGAGGACTGGGCAGCGGTGGGAGGAGCGGGGTGGGGGCACACCCCTGTGCCTACCACAGCCTTGCAGCCCACAGTTCCTTTAAAGGTGCATGAATTTGTGCACTGGGCCCCTAGTATTTAATGTCATACCATAGCATATTACACAAAGTACTTCTCTATAATTCTGGAATTTTCCTATAACAAACAAGTCATTAAATAATCCATCTTTTATCTAATAATTTGAAATGTCATTATTACAATATTCTAAATATCTTTCTTCCTCTCTTCATTGGCCCAATTATAGGGTTATTATCACATTAGAGTACATTTTTATGTCAAAGTAAATTCGGACTCTATTCAAAACGTTCTTGACGAGTCTTGTCTGTCTATTCTTCCTGATGAATGTTAGAATCACTTTGTGACACACACACACACACACACACACACACACATCCCACTGGAATATTTTGATTTTTTTTTTCAGAGAGAGGAAGGGGATATGTGCTCTGACAGGGAGTCAAATCCACCACTTCTTGGGTGAACTGGGCGACACTCCAGCCAACTGGGCCACCCAGCCAGAGCCCAGGGGACTCTCCGTAGAGTGGATACTGCCACCCTGTTCAAGCATGCTTTCCTCCTGAGAACGGGTGGGTCTCAGGGCCAGTCAAAACTTATGAGCCAGACAGAGAAACCCTATTTACTCTCCAATTTAAGTGCACTGTCATTAAATCCACTACTTATTAGAAAAATACACATTAAATATGTATATATTAAGGCAGTGTTTTTCCAGTTTCAAGTTTTACAAGAAATAGATGTTCCTCAAATCAATATTAAAATAACTGTATTTTGGGGATTTACAATGGCTGAATGTGTTTTGTCCTTTTATTCATCAACTAGAGGCCTGGTGTACGAAATTTGTGCACAGGGGTGGGGGGGTTCCTCAGCCCGGCCTGCACTGTCTTGCAATCCAGGACATCCCTCTCACAATCCGGGACCACTGGCTCCTAACTGCTTGCCTGCCTGTCTGCCTGATCACCCCTAACCACTCTGCCTGCCTGCCTGATCACACCTAACCACTCTGCCTGCCTGCCTGATCACCCCTAACCGCCTCTGCCTCGGCCCCCGTACCCAGGACCCAGGCTTCCCTCCTCCGGCCGACTGCAGGCCCCCTGGACTCAGGTTTCCCTCCCTCTGGCCGGCTGCAGGCACCTGGGACCCCGGCCAGCACTGCCTGGGCCCCGGCTTTGTCAGGAAGGATGTCCAGAATGACATCTGGAAGACGTCCAGTCTATCTGGTCTAGTTAGCATATTACCCTTTTATTAGTATAGATAAAAAAAAAATCAAACTTATAAATATCCTTATATTGTTTGTACTTTTATTCCTGGAATATATTATCTTTGATCATAGTATATTATTCTTTTAATATAGTCCTGCATTTGAATCATCTTTACTTTGTTTTGGATTTTTCATCTATATTCATTAATGAGATGTTTCTGTAGTTTTTCCTTTGATTAATAGCTTAATGATTTGTTAAAATATGAATTATTCTACAAACAAAACGAGTCCAGAAAAGTTTCATCTTATTTATTATATATCCTAGAAAACTTTAAGTAGCAAAATAATTTTCTAGTCTTTCAAAATTTGATGCGTGTCACATACACAGCCATCTAATCCAGGCACTTTTAGAGTGAGGGTAGCAAAGGAACTAGGGTCTTCAAATCTCTTTTCAGTTTCTTCCCTGGTTATTGGTTTGTTTGTTTGTTTGTTTGTTTTTGTAATACTCTGCCTCATATTGTGTAAATTTTAGCAATAAATATTTTTCTAAAAATCACCCAGTTGAGGAGTTGATTTAGCATTTTCTGCCTATCTTTCTGCTTTCTCTATTAGACTATCTTCTTTAATTTGCTGATTTCCCTTTTAGCTCTTTAATGCCCTTCTATACTTTTTCTAGTTATGCTTTGTTGTTCTTCTAGTTTATGTAACTGAGTGCTTGGTTCATTTATTTTCAATCTCCCTTCTCAATTAACAACAGCATTTTGATGATACTAATTTCCCGTTAAGTACAGACTTAGTCAAATTCCACAAGTTGTTGTTTTTGTTTTTTGTTTTTTTTTTATAATCCTCACCCAAGGATATTTTTCCAGATTTTTAGAGAGAGTGGAAAGGAGGGGGAGAGACAGAGAAACATCAATGTGAAAGAGACACATCAATTGGTTGACTCCCACACATGCCCCAACCAGGGCCAGGGACTGAGCCTACAACCCAGGTATGTGCACTTGACCAGAATCGAACCCTGGACCCTTCAGTCCAAGGGCCACCGTTCCGGCTAGGGCAAATTCCACAAGTTTTAATATGCATAGTTGTAATTTTCATAACTTCATGATTACTTAGGAATCACATTTTGCACTTGTTATTTCCATTATGGTCCAGGCATTATCTAGGATTGATTCTTTATTTTTATCTTTAACTCTAATGGTTGATTTGATGTTGTGGGGTTTTTTTTTTGTGTGTGTGGTAATTTTGTTAATTTCTACTTCGCCTTTGTAAGAAAAGAATGTACTTGTGATATGTGAGTTTGCTTTTGTTGACTTCCTATAATTTTTCTCACCTCTACTATTACCTAGCTGTATATTGTGAAAAATTTCAAAGATACACAAAAATACAAAGAACTCTAACATAAATCTCAGTGCCCTACATTCAGTTTTAAGAAGTGATCACTAGTGGCCAGTTTGATTTCATTCATAACTTTCCATTCCTACTTCCCCCAAGACCCCAAGTGGATTCCCTGGAAGCCTAGCTCAGAGATCACGATTGGTTCTTAGACACTGCATTGGATCTGGCACAGATTCTCCAACCTCGTGGCAATCTAGTGGCAATCTAGTGGCCTGACGGTGCCTCAGTTGAATGATGCAGGTTTCTCCCATTTTTGCTTTCTTTGATATTGCAGTCAGGTTATCTTTAATTTTTTTTGAAAGGGAAAATAATTAGATGTCTGATAGCTTTTTTTTGTTTGTTTTTAAGAAATCTGCAATTCCCTTTTCAAATGAACTTTTTTTTTTTAAATATATTTTATTGATTTTTTACAGAGAGAAAGGGAGAGGGATAGAGAGTTAGAAACATTGATGAGAGAGAAACATCGACCAGCTGCCTTCTGCACATCTCCCACTGGGGATGTGCCCGCAACCAACGTACATGCCCTTGACCGGAATCGAACCCGGGACCTTTCAGTCCGCAGGCTGACGCTCTATCCACTGAGCCAAACCGGTTTCGGCGGAACTTTTAATGTGCCATATTCTCCATTTCTTAACTATCCTAAGATCTGGGTAATGGTAACCAAATAGTGCACAGGGAGCTGCAGGCTGCCATTCCTCTCTGAGCTACGCCAGTGCCACTGGGAGACCCTTTCACAGATTTTGTCACTGCACACCTCCCTTCATTGGACTCGAGGAATTGGCTAGACCAACCCACTCTGGAAGCTTAGGTTACACTTTCATCAGATGAGGCAGAAGATCTATCCAGAAATTGTGGGAATATCTCAGTTAAGGAAATTTGATCAGATGTGTGAAAAAGTTTGGGATGTAAAAGCAAACATCAAATATCACTAAAGTGATAACGATTTAAAAAAACACATGTTGATTTTTTTTTAAAAAAAGGCAGCATTTTTGCCTCCTTTCCTGGAATCTCTGACTTTTAACTACTCGACCTCCTATTTTGGCCTGTGAAATAGAGATAACATCCTTCACTCCGGAGCTACTGGCTGGCGGTCTCAGCTTTCCTTCCCTGGGTCGCAGCGGGAGGCTGGTCCCCAGCAGCCCTTAAAGTCAGCAGAGATTAAAGCTGCAGATTGGGCTGAGCCAGAGGAAATACTACTACTATCTCTGAAAAAAGAAACCATATAAGTTATCTCAATAGAGTAGAGGAAACGCTATCCAAAAGAGGGGGAGTTAGAAGAGGAAAAGCTAAAATAGAATTTCAGAAGAAAAACACATTAATTACTGTCATCCACAGGATGAGAAAAGTCGCTGGGTTAGCATGGGTTGGGATGGGAGTCCAGGTTAACTATAAACTGACTGCAAGCTACTTTTTCCAGAAAGGATGAAGTGATAGTCTAAATAGATCCTTAATTGAGCGTACAGTGTAGAGAATTGTTGCTTTGTAAAAGGACTCAGGACAGTTTTCTTAAACCAACAATGTCCCTTTTAATTTCCTCATTCATTTT